CGCAGGCGTACATAACTAATTTTGCTCGATACCTCCCCATTTCAAACCTAAGTATGGCAAAACTGCACTTTTTGATAAACATCCTCCTGAATAAATCCGAAAGGTGCAGGTTACCTCATAAAGCACAATAAATGAGTTATGTTGAATGAAACGTAAAAAAACGCGAATTCGGAGAATTCACCGGAACTTCCGCAAGACAAGCACGATTTGCAGCTGTTCCGCAGGATTTTGTTTTCTATTATAAAAAGGGAAACCTCTGCAGAATTTCCACCTCAGACTGGTTGAAAAAAGAGAAATTTTGCAGGACTTTTTGAAAAATGCTGCTAAAATTCCGAAAAATGCAAACATTCCGCAACGCTTTGACCTGTCAGTACTTCCGCAGGATTTTGAATGTGTTGTCTCTTACAGTGTTGTCTCTCCAATAACTAGAGTGCATTGTCGAACATTGTCATCCGTAGTGCAGAAGATGGTGAGTCTCGCAGTCAATATAGCAAGCTTAGATGTTCGCTTTTGCTGTTGTGATTTGCATTTTTCGGGACTTCCGCAGCACGTTTACGGAACTTCCGCGGGTGATCAGGCGGAACTTTCCCAAACGTTCTGCGAAAGTTCCGGGCAGTTATCTGATTTAGCACTTTATCCTTCGAATAATTAGGTGGGTAGTGTGCGATGTACGTTAGTCATGCGATAGTAGAGATGTCATGGGTTTCCGTGGAAAATCGTAGAGATAACCATAAAAACGTGGAACACTTAACACCATTTAGAAGTAGTTCACACAGCAATCAAAATGGTCTCGCTGAGGTCACCAAGTCGCAGTCTTTACGCATCATGTCTATTTGACATATTCTGTAGAATTTTGTCGTAAGAAGTTTCTTTCTTGCAAAATCCAGAATGTTTTAGAGGAATGTCGTTGTACAACGTCATCAATCACGCACTCAAGGAGGGCTATCAAGCTTGAAATTGGATTTGAGCGCATTCTTGCCAGTATCCTTGTCTCATGAGGGGGCTTCTATGGGCCATGGCCTCCACTTGATGAGACACTTCTTGCTTTTATTTCTTCTCATTTTGGATGTAAAGTAAAATCAAAAGCGTTTGAATTGGTTCGAATGTTCTGTTTTTTTTTCGCTGTGAAGAGATCAAACTGAAATTGCTTGAAGGCATTTCAAGGCATTAGCTGTATCTATTATGTAGCCATTGTTAAAAATAAAAGTGGCGATCGGAAAAATTTTAAAAACCGTGACAAATAATCAAGGAAGTTTGATCTTTATTTAGAAAAGAATGCATAAACCTCACTTGTCTTTAATATTTGATAAGACTTTCGATATTTTCGTGCATCCGAGTCTGAAAATTCATCAATTTGAGTGCTTACTCTATATCGTCTGAATTGTTTTATTTCGATTTGTCTACATTGATTTTGCAGGCTTCTTTCAAAACAGAATCGTAAAAAATAGGATTGCAAAAAAATTTGGTCTCGATCAAATTGATGGCATCACATAAATACATAGAAGTGAATATTTACTTAACTAGAAAATTCTTGTGACGACTTCACAGTTGTCTTTGTTATTTTTGTAAATTTTTACCAACTCTTAGAATCGGGCTGTTTACCCCGAGAAGAGGAAAGAAATTCTGGAAGAACAAATAACCGTTGGCATTGAACAAAGGACTTTCCTCTGCCTTCCCCCCCCCCTCCCCGTCCTCTACATCTGCGTCACAAAATTTCTTTTATTCTCGTGCTTGCATCTGCATAATATCTATTCAATTCTGATTCTTGAACGGATGTAAAGACGTTTGACCGATGCAGCACTCTATCTTTGACAGTGTGAGCGAATTCTGCGCCAACGCGCGTCACATGATGCTGTTGAATATGCATTTCGGAATTGTATTTTTATAAGCAAGAGGAGCATTAATGCTTAACCAAACATATACTGATTCAGGCATACCTCTATCGCTCCAAAAGTAAACATATCGACAGAATTTCTCTTTTTTGCTACCCCATATGCACTTTTTAAATTCTAAACAAAAAAAAGTTTGTGCCTCACATACTTCAAGGAAAGGCAGTGTACGTCAGATTTAGTTGAGCGTAACAAAAACGCAATTTATCTTACAATAGTTCAACTCTTGTCGCGGTAATTTTTGTTGAACATTTGAGGGTTTTAAATCAAAATTCGAGTTTAAATTCAAAAATAGACTTTCGTCATAAAGTTATGCATATATTTACTGCATCTTAATCTTAGCATCATCACCCCACTATTTTCTTATATGCCTGTCCTTCATATAATTGCACTCCTTTCACAGGATACTATTTGGGTGGAGGACTATGTTGCCGGAAGTGGGAGGGTCCATCGCGGATAATGCAGCAGGTACTCAGCTTGTGCGTGTATTGGAATGTGCATTTGTTGCAGATGTCCAACGGGAACTCCCACTTTCGGCGACATATAGTACCAAACACATAGTATCTCCTTGATAGCTGTCGTATGACTAACAGTGATAATTATCTCTGAAAATCAACTTTTTCCAGCGCTTCACTAATTATTTTTTGTTTACATTCAAAACTTTACGGGGGTCTCTGAGCAGATTGGTGTGCACTTGATTTAAATGTTGTTGGAACGAAGCCTCCGACTAAGCTATTATAAAATCCACTAAGGACCCCTACAGCGAAACATCCGGTCTTGCGTCCGTCTTCGACCAACTTGCGTCCATCGGCAGAGGGCACGGTTGGAAACAAAAAGCTCAATAAAAGAATATAAAAAATTGCCTTACTTTCAGCAAAGCTGCGTTCTTTATCTCAATTCCAGGAGATAAACAAAAATTAGCGTAAGCGAGTTCATTGATCAAATCTCAATTTTAGAAGGTCCGATTTTCATATCAAAATGTGTGATCTACGCTGCTTGGAAAAGTTGTAATTTACTGCTCATTTACCTTTGAACTTTTTATGCCTCTCTTGACGGCGGCAAAAGGCCTCTGAGAATTTTTTGGGAAACCCCAAATAGTTTTTTAGGACCTTGAATTCGTTCCTAGACAAATTCGACATCATCAACCCCCACATGTACTTTTTGAGAAGCATTGCAGAAAAAAACAAAGAGTAAAAGAATTTTTTTCGCATAAACAAGCTGATGCATTATTATTAAATTCGCATAAATCGTTACTAAGAATTTCATATTTGATTAACTGAAACACTGCATGAAACTAGACTGCACAAAATTGTGTATTTTTTCGTTTAAAAATCCTCTTATTTCAAGATGTAAGTTCAACAGACTTTGAACTCCTTCAATCTTACAACAGCTTAACAGCCTAAATTTTCTTCTACAATTCTTATTGGTCACTTACCGCAAAACTCAACAATGTGGAAAAAAAGAAGTGCCCGTACCATCCTTCGCCCTCCAAAAATTTGCTATCAAAGACATCGACTTTTGAATTTCCACGAATTTTTTTCCGACTTCCGCTAAAATTTTAAGAAGCAAAGTCCTGACTTTTTGTTTCTTGCCATTTCCAAATCTTGACCACTTCGCCAAATGACCTCTTGAGGAGGTATTTGACACTATGCAGAGAGCGATTTTGGGCCTTGAAATTACTCAAATGGCCGCACTACGTTTGCCCTTGTGCGCGATGGGCGGTACTCGTCGGTCCGAGCGCGCAATTTCTGATGCTTGTCCTCTGGGATCTATCAGTTAAGGCGGCGGAGTGCTTGTGATTTTTGCCTCAGGCCTAACTGGCCTCACAAAAAGCGCTTTTCAACAAGTTTTCTTCCTCGGTTTGTTCCTTTGAAGTTTTGTACTTTTGGATTTCTTAGTGCCATTTGATGCACCCTTTTCTTCACTTTTTTCTATTCTTTTGAGAGATATGTGAAGCAGAGCGAAAACCTGCAAATTGTCACTTTTTTTCTTGTCGGAAACTCTAAGAATCACCGCATCATAAACCGTTCTATGTGAGTCAACGTATTTTACAGCTGGTGTCATTTCTTCGCACGACCTTCCATCTGCCTCTTTGTTGTCGAAAATTTCAAAACACTTTATTTGCATATTCGCTTAGGGACAATTTTTGAATTTCTCACACTCTTTTGTTCTAAAATAATTGCTATAGAATTGATTCAAACTGCATCTCCATAGATTTTTTGTATGAGAATTCTTTTATATGTAAACTTAAGGACTTCAATTCATTCTCGAATTTCCTTCGACAAGTCTGCCCTTTTATCGACTGCATTTCCCTTAAATCTTAACCTTTCGCTGTAGAAATTTCGCTTCAATTTTATGCAACATTGCGGTAAGAAGATGCGAAGGTTTTCGACTAAGTTTTTCAAAAATTTGTAATCTATCTCGATATATTAAACACAGTAACATTTTGTGAAGAGAAAATATTGAAAATTTTCTGTTAATGGTTAAAATGGGAACGGTTTCAGCATATTGTTGATAAAAACACTTTGATCATAAAATTATTCACGAAAAAAAATTCAGTATAATCTGACACTACATCATTGATTATGCGACTCATTCTTTGAAAATGAAAAAAATTTTTCTTCAGAATAGCGAAGGTAGCAGAAATAAAGTAAGATTTGTAGCAATAGAAATAAAGCTAGGAATTAGATTCAATCAAGGACTATGATTCTCGCTTAAGAAAGAACAAAAACCATTTTTTATCTTGATTCTAGTCTTTTTAAGTTTTTCATTCTATAATACTGCACACTTTTATGAAAAAAATACAAATACAGAGTCATTTGAAGTTTTTTGAAAGCTTTTCAACATTTTTTGGACGAATTTTTAGAAATTGCACACGATTTTTGTTTCCTTTTGATATCTACCGAACAATGTTCGTTTAGTAGTGGTCAAAGCTCACCAAAATTTGAATTAGAAATTCCAAGTATCTTTCATGAAAAAACTTTTTTATTGGTGTCTCAGAGTTTCCAGTCTTTTCATACTCCTATCTCATCTACATTTCGATCAGCGTCACTTTTCTCCGTTTCCGCTATAAACCCTGTATTGCACATAAATCCAAGCATAGAAGCTTTTTTCAGAACAAATATCCCGATGTCAACAGAAGTCAAACACGCCAGGTTTCCCAAAGATGCGCAGACAAGACGGGTAAGCAAACGCTGAATTTTCGTCACTTTTCCACGCTGGTGCTTTTTTCTGAATGAAAAACGCTCGTAAAGCACAAAAGGTTCTCAAACGAGGACGTCAAGGACGTATAAGCACCTTTTGTTCGTTTTGAGGGGGAGAGAAAAAAGAATGATGGGCGAAAATGAGCGCGAATTGCATAGGCGATTGAGGACGCAAAGTTTGGGAGATTTTTTATAAGCGGATTATTGAAAAATAGTTGTTGGGACTTTTCAAATTGGACAAAAATTCCTAGAGTATCTGAATGTTATCGTCAAAAATTTACAAATTCATCATTTAAGCAGAAGTTTTGCTGTAAAATGTGAATGGAAACAAATCATCAACATCTCTGAAATAGGAAGGCCTTTCTGAGCTCCATAACTCCGTAACAAAATTTTTCGTCAGTTCAAAAAGTTCGAACTTGTTTTTACATTAGTTTTTATGTTTTTGAAATTGCAGGCCGCTTGCTGCGCTTCCGTTCATTGCAGTTTTATGCTCAGATCTGTGTTTGGATTGTGTAACTATACTGATTTCTTCTAATGGTCTGCCAAGTAGAATGCATCCCTGAGGGAAATTGAAAAAATGTAGTACCAGTCTGACCAAATTTGTTTCGGAATTGAATTATTTGTTTGTTTGGAGCGTAAAGCTTTGATCGAGGCTTAGATATGCAAGCAAATGGCTTGTGTATCTACTTGTTGCTAGGTCACTCGAACTTTCAAACCATATTGTTTTCGCTGTCCCATCTGATTGATGAAATTCTTCACGTTTTTTGACATGTGATTTTTGACATCTCTAGAGCAAGGAATGTTCTGGAATGAAATCAGAAGTCTTTTATCCAGTATGTACAACTCGAGCTCGTACTACATTTGAACTTCCTTCAAAATAGGACATGGTTCAAATATATGACAATGCGCTGCTAATTTTTGGTGGTCAGCTTTGCCATGTGATTTATTTTGGTTTGGGGCTTTAGTCCTCGAAGAGAATAGGGACTAACCTTTTAGCAGTACGAACTCAGAATTTTTTTTAGGGGGGGGGGGAAGAAAGGGGGAAGGGGAGGCAAAAGATTTTAAGCTTTTAATGTGATATTTTGTGAGTTTTCCAAAATTCTCGCTTGCTCATGACTTCAAACTTTCAACAAAAAAAAGAGTGCTTGTCGGTAAGCACATTGCCACAAAATTTCACGAAGCTAAGTTCAATTTTGAGAGATTTTAAAAACTGATCTTATATTTAACAAGTAGAAACAAGTCTTTTGCACAATTTTATGACTAATAAAGATCGATTAAAAAACTTTGGTTGGTAACTCGTTAAAGGTCCGTTTTTATGATAACAGCAGCAAATACAATTTACAGTTTTTGGCAATGTTTTTGGCTAGACATGTTCTTCCACTTCTCATTATATTGTACATTTCAAAATTACTTTTCAAAATAATTTTCAACTTTTTTCGCGTCACCTTTCCGAAGTCGATAAGTCCACGATCACGAGTGGGGGAGATTTTCATTGAAGTCCGCTCCCGAATGCACTTTACAACTGTGTTTTATAGGCGCCAAGCATTTCCGAACGCAAAACTCATAAATAAGAGAACCCCGACAATCTGGAATACCTTTGCCGCGAACCAAGCCAAATTGGCCATTTGCTTGATAAAATTACGGTCATTCAGTGGCTAAGATGTTATTGAAGCAGGTTTTGCGTCATCACATAAAATATGAAAGCCTGGTATTCTATACTCGGCAAAATCTAGGGACCTTTGCTTCTTTGAATAATTTTCTTTGCAAAAAATTTCATTTGCAAAGAGGGATATCGTTTTTCGTGGTGTTTGTTGATGTTGAGAAAAGCAAGTCGTCGTTATCCTAGACATACTTGAGGTGAAGAGGGAACGCCTGCGTATCTACACAGATCGCCAAGCACTGAGCATTGAGCAGAATTCGAAAAAATTAGTTTTTGTGAGGGGAGGGGGAGGGAGGGGGAAAACCTTTTTGATCTGTCCATTTACATGTTTTGAGAAATCCCAATTCTTGAAATCAAATTTAGCACGAGCGCAATTCCGAGAAAATTTACGCTCTTGGGAGAAAAAGGGAAGTTTTCCTTGTCTTTTTCGTTTTTTTTTGAAATAATTACAATTTTTTGAACTGGATCCTTATCACTCCCTTACAAGTTCAGAAATCTTTGCAAATATCCGCTACAATTTCTCACAAGGACATTTTTCGGCAATTGCATAATCCTCTAGGAGAAAATAATCCAAACGAAATGTAAACTTTAGTGCATGAGAACTTGATTGAGTTTTTGTCGTACATTCTAGGATTTCAAATGCAATTTCCTCCCACTTGTGGCCTCTTTTCTTTGGGATGAAATATGATAATTCAAGGCTTTTTCGGCATTTGTCCGCAGTCTGCGCTTGTACTTATGTTGGGGTATTGCTAGAATTTTCGAAAAGTGGGAAGAAGTTGGGGTTTGGAACAGCTGAGGGTCTTTCAATGTCAATCAAAAAGAATTATACCAGTTGGAAAGGAAAGTGACTGCACTCCATTTGCTCGAAATCAATCATGGACCAGTACAGCTGATTCTCTGTTTACTGGTAGTTGAGAAATACACATTTTGCAAGGGGCAGGGGAAGGGGGATGGATGGGGGGGGGAAGCTACAAAAATTGAGGTCCTAGCAGCCGCGACGGCTAAGCAAACATCATCGCGAGGTTCTGTGGAAAATGTTGTACTGCCGTGAGAAATCGTTTCGCAACGAACGCAAAAAGATTTCTCACGGCTAAGAGCGAAAAAATTAGTCATACAGCACCCCTTGTTGTTGATACAAAAAAGAGATCGAATTTTCGTAGTCTTAACGTATCGCTTTAACTGCCAGAGCTTACGCAGTCCGGATTGTGAGGGAGTCTGATAACTTTTTTGGCTAGCTAGTTCTTCAATTCCATGGCATAAGCTTCGTATTCCGAACAACGTGTATAGGTAAGAGGGAAATTGCATGAATTCGCCCAAAACTCTAATTTTTGCTTTGCACAAATCAAGCGAGATGACCTTTCACCATTGTATTTATCACATAAATTACAGGGCAGTGCCAAAGATTGCCTCGAACGGCGAGCATAATCCTCTTTGCGATCCGGTTCGTTCACTCTGGAGGAGGTTAGAGCGCGAACGGGGTGTGAGAAGGGGGGGGGGACGCGGATTTGGTCTAACTGCAGGGATTTTTATCTTTGTTTTTGTTGCACAAGATAAGCTGGCTTCATAAGTAAGAAGACAGTTTAGGACATTTTTGAGTTCTGAATTTTTAATGATTTTTTAATGGCTCAATTTTTGTCGAATTTAATTTGAATTATGAGATAATGAATTATAATTCAAATTTCTAGCGTTCTCACAGCCATTCATAGCGCATTCACTGTAGCCTGTTGAACTAGGAAGCTAGAAGTGCTCCTCAAAATTCCAAACTGAGTTCCACTTTTCTGCTACTCAAAATAATTCGAGTAAAAACGTACTCTTATGTTGTCCGAGCCTCTTCCCCTGCAGGAGATTTCATTCTCACGTACTTGATAAATATTTATTTTAGCGATGTCTCACTGCTTCCACATATGTTTGCTTTTCACAAGTTTTTGGATTCTATTGTGTTCATATTCTATTTTCACTCACATACGTTTAACTTCAACAACAAGCCGCTATTACGAACACTAACATAAAAAACGATGAAGGAAGACATTGTTGTCAGACAAAGGTGTGGCCAGGCATTGTAAAGGGGGGGGGAGGTCTTAAAATTTTGAAGTGTTTGCTGGGGGATTTCTGCAAGACGAGTCAAGCTAAGAAAGATGTTGAGCAGAGTGTTGGAAAAAGGTTTGCTCGCGGCTTTGAAATGAAAAAAGAGATGTGAAGATTCTAAATCCCTAAAAAATGAGATTATTTGTCCTGAAAATACTAATTTTCGAGAAACAAAAGCTGGTCTTTGCTCCTTGTTGACTCCGATGGCCTTCCATGATTTCCGCGTGGGACTCAATCACCATCTTCCCGTTTCTCTAATCTAATACCGCCCACCCCCAATTGGAAAGGCTATATCTGGTTTGGAAGCAGCTAAATTTAGAAAACAACGTACAGCTTGCTCGCATCGCAAACAGGGGACAAATCTCGTACACAAATTTTCAACTTATTCATGTCGTCTCCCCAGGGGATCCGAACGAGATTTTAGTTTGGCTGCAGACTAAACATCAGTTTGAGGGCAATAACTTTATGCCAACGAGGTCAAAGGGTAGTGGGACTAAAAGGGCAGAAAAAAATGAAAGATTAGATTTTTAGAGGATTATGAAATTCGAGTGCTGACGGCGATGTCAAGGGGTCTTATTGTAAGATATTTTTATTAGAGTTTTTTGGAAGGGGAGCAGAAGTGACAGAAAATCTCTCAATTGAAGGACGTATTTGCAGACGTACAAAAAAGGCTGACCTTTTGATTTCCGTAGTTTATAGAGCTCACCTTTTTTGTGATTATTCAAGCAGTAATAAGTTTCTCGTGCTAGGGCTGGATTGTAAACAACTTTTGAAAAACTTGGGCTATTTTCCAAGGCCCCATGCTTCACTGAGTATTGATGTTTGATTCCTTTTAATTTTCGAACCCTCTCACTTTCTGATCTCAAACTTCTTCAGGAAGAGCGTCATCGAGTGCTGACGATGAAGTATGGCAAACAACAAATGATGCTTATTCGCAAGAGAATGAAGGTATGAATTATGTTTTCTGAATTCTTGGTATTCGAGATTTTTTTGAAGCCCAACGGTAATTTTTGCATAACACTGTTAGCGTTTTGATCGAACGAGACACTTTTGTGAATCATATTCCTTGATTCGATTTTACCCTTGGCTGAATTCTGATATCAATCAGACTTGATGTCAATTATGGGACCCGTTTTGTTCTTAAATTTCGGACTTCTGGTGTTTGGAGCGAAACACATATAGCTATCTTTATAAAAATATCATATTTCATTGAAATTATATTTCGGACCACTTAGCAGGGACATTTCGCTGTTTATGACTTTCTAACAAAATAGAGTTAAGTCCTTTTACACAAAGAAAAGCAACGAAGAAATTACCTCTTTCGAAGTTTAGGCCATCCTAAATCATATGCGAATGCTCGCAAACTTTTTGCTTTAATGTGCATGTGTATAACTCAACTTTAGTGGAATAACCACACTAAGTTATGAAATAAATTTTCTTGTCGTTTGCGTCTGAAGGACTTTTGGATAAAGTTTATGCATGAGAAGTGCATATTCGACGAAAAATTTTGTTGCTCCGGACAAGTTCATGTGAGAATTATGATGTGTGTCCATTCTATTACAAGTACATAGAGCACAGAACACTTCAGTATGTCTTTTGCGATGCACTGCTTCGCGGGAATCCCTATAGGGATCATCCACTTCCCTTATGTGTCAAAGATTTAAGAAGCACTATTGCAGATTGAAAATTGGATTGACGCTGAAGTGGCCAAGCTCTTCAACGGGAACGACAACAATGTGAGTTAGCTGGGACTGATTGCTTGTACTACACGAAGAGAGCGACGATGTTGACATTAGGGAAAGGGAAAAAAGTGAGGGGGGGGGGGGCGGGAGACGGGAGATTGGATTACAGAAAACCTTTTATTTTGAAATTTTCGAGTAATTTGAGAATTCAATGAGAGAAAGAGGGCGGACAGGGGGAGAAGGAAGTGACAAAGAAATTTTTTTCATATGAACGCTGCTTTCTAGGTCTTCCAAAACTTTTTTTCTGAACCAAAATAAACTTTTAGTTTTGAAAGTTCCGCGATTGAAATCAATGATACCAACTTCAAAGTTTTTCCTTCATGGAAAGAAGAAGGAAAGAGTGGAATTTCCACTATGGTTGCTGCATTGATCTCCGAAAATATTTTTGTATGCTTTCAAATTTGTAGCGCCAAGTTTGTGGACCCCTTAGCCTCTCAACAAAAAAATATCACTTAAATTTTTCTACAGCACTGGTCTGATTTTTGGATGAATTTCAAAAAGTTTATCCTGCCATAACCAAGCTATTTGCATAGCTTTAAAGTTCAAGCAGACCACTTCCAAAAATTTCGTAACTCGTTCTTGGGAAGAGGGGGGGGGGGCAGAGAGATCTCGTATCCCCTACCATAGACAATTGACCATTTGACATAGCTGCAGTCTTGGACCAATTTCACTACAATTTTTTTCTTAAAAAAATTGTTATTGAGGCTATCTAGATGGAAATTCTTGTTACTGACATCAGTATGGTTCCATAGAGCTAGCATCGTGTGTTTTAAATTTTTCAAAATTTAAATTTTCAGGGAGTTGACATCGATCTAGACGCGCTTCTTGATCTCGACAGTGTCCCAGCCAAGCGTAAATTTGTCTTTGTGAGTAACGACATCTATTTTGAATTAGTATAACCACCGTTGATATTGGAAGCCAAGTTTCTATTTGATTTTAGGACAACCTTCAACGGAGTCACTGCCCAGCATCAATGGATAAAATAACAATGTTTTTGGATGAGATGATTGATCAATTGAATACGCTATAAAACGACAGTCACTATATGTCCGCAATTTTACGTTATATTTGTTGTACAGTTATGCTTTGATGTTATTGAATGTTTTAACATAGAAAATTGCAATGAAGAACCTGTACAAATGGGTTTAGTATTGTATATTATATTGTCACTTGGTAGGATGATGTTATACCTTAATCTTTTCTTCTTAAGATGCTGTTCATACTTGATATAACATTCTTGGATATTATCGTGTTTCATATTGTATAAAAATGTATTCGTTAACACTCGATCAAGGGACAATAATTTGAAAAAGATTGTCAGCTTGTTTTTGTGCCAAGCAAAAAAAGTTACATTTTATTTTTATGTTCAAAGTATCTCCCAAGACTCCCTCAGGAAGAATTAAAGCCATCGCCTCGTACATATTGAGCAAAATTCCAGACCTGCAAAAAATCTAGCTTGTAACAATTTTCCGAATTTTTTCTGAAGTCTTGTTGTTCACCATTACTATGAACTGAACTTACTATTATTGCCATGAACGGGAGTGTAGTTTTTGTAATAGAAGTCAGCCATGAACAAAATCTCCACGCTAAATACAGTATAGTTAGGGCGCTTTCAACGTAATGGCATAAAAAAATGTGCTAAATGAATTACTTTTTCATAATCGACATCCTACCCTTTGACAAATGGATTGGCGGCTGGAAATGGGGCTTCGTGAAGTAATTAAGGCTTGAAAATGACAGAGAGCACGTTGGCGAGGGAGACGCAGATTACGTCGCGGACGTGAGCGGTCGCCTTCTAGCCGCCAGTCGCGTTAGTCAAGGGCATACCCAAACATGACCCTATATCAGAAGATTGGTGCAAAAGTAATTCCGCTTTTTTTACCAGGGCTCGGAACGAGGTGCTTTCCGAAAATGAAAAAAACGATGTCCTCCCTGATTTCGAAAAATTTTACAAGGTCCCCTTTGGCCCTCACCCCCGAATCAACTAGAGAACCCTAAAAACCGAAACGTCGGCTGAAATAAAATCTAATCTTGCTTGTGTTTTCCGACCCGCAAAAACTATATCCCCTTTGCTTTTTTTTCCAAAAACGATATTTAGCTTGCTTATTGGCCACCTGTACCGAGCCCTGTTCCTAAAGTATCTTTAACGCTGTGGATCATCAAAGGCACCGCATATAGGCATTGCACATACTCTTTTGTGGCGTATTTTACATCTCTTTGCAACAGAGGGTGGCGATTCAAATGATTCTCCTCCCGATGTAGAACTGTAAGTATTCAAACCAGAGAAGTTGTTAGGCTTTTTTCCAACTCCTTCTGAGACGAATTCCGTGTGGAAAAATTCTATCAAATTAGTCTTAGACATTCGTGGTTAACGAGGACCGGTAACGGCAGAGTGGGCGATCGCATCCGCGCGGCGGCGGCAGCGCGGATTCGCGTAGGGACCCACGCGGATTACGGTACATCCCGCTCCGAGTGTCCGCCGAAGCTCCGAATTTCCTCATTTCTTTTTCTATCTGTTTGTTTTCTCTCCTATTCTCGGATGACCGCTATTTTGGATTGTCCACTCTTCCGTTACCGGTCCTCCGGTCGTATTCGCGGCGCAGAAACGGATCGCTTTCTCGGGAATACGCATTTTTTGAATAGTTCCGATAGTAGCCGGCTTCTCAGCCTGTCAAAATGATCTCTCCGTCTAGGTCATTTTGAAATCCTTTTGTTTGTTGTTGATGCTATCTTTCCACCACTTCTTTATAGACATCTCCAATGATGCAGACCTTCAACGTAGTTCCTTTTCATCATATGCATTCTGCATACTTACAGATATAACACCGTCGATGCTCAGATCGCGAAAGACTGCTCGGGGACGTGGTAACGAAGAACTTGTTTTGGCACCTGGTGCAGAAATTAGCAAAAATTTGGGAAGGTATGAGTGACATGCTCTCAACTAAACTGTTATATAACTATCTTGATTTTGTCAAGATTTGCCGAGCGTCGTACCGATATCTTAGGTGATGGTGTCGCTGGAGCAGAACAAACGGTATTTGGAAAATTGGGAGAGGAAGCTCCGCAGCCTACAAAGTTAGTGCAATCTCGATTTTCATTGGATTTCGGTCCCTGTTTGAGGTATATGTGTTCTTGGACCATTTAGCGTCACAGTTTCATGGCACATTCTTGTAACCTCTTCTCCTCTCAAAAGTTCTGTTTATTTTCCCGTTGCGTGATTTAGTTCTGAATTTCCAGCAACTTATTTGGGATGGATCTGAAGAGACTCGTGCCACATACTTTTGCCGTACAAAGCCAAGTCACGATCGGTAAGTTTACTGGTTTCTTACTGGCTCTGTTAGTTTTTCGCAGTAAGTTGTACATTAAAAAAAACTTTCTATTTCAGTTGATTGTATTTTGTTCAAGATAAATTTTGGCAGTGGCATGCCCGCACAGGCGACCATGGCAGGTTATGGTGCCATGCCTCCCCACCAACTTCGTTATTTCATTGAATAAAACTGGAGTTGGTTATAAAATACTCGCTTTAGCGCCTGAGGCTCCTACGCCAAAACGTCAAAAAACTTGAGATGAGCTGGAGCCGGAGGCTGAATGGTTGAAGAAGGTAGAAATAGCTAATCATTTGAATTTTCGTCTATTTTGTAATTTTACAAATCAGTGGACTATGAATTATATGCGCGTTTACTTTGTACTGATCACTTCATATTCTCAGGTGAACGGTGCGATTGACTTGCGCATACAACTACCTGTAAGTGCAGAGTTCAACATGGATGGATCGATCATCGGATTACAAATCGATGTTTCCTCGCAGGTGAGTCTACTTCGGTTTTTCTGAGATAGTTGGACTTATTTATTACAGTTGCTTTGTTGACAACTCTTGCTAGTATTATATTTTACATTCATTGTGGAAATTTGCATTTAAAAATGCCTCAGAGCATCCTTATCAAAGTTTTTGCAGGTATCGGACCTCAAGCAGCAACTTCAGGATAAGCTCAGCATGCCAATAGGAAAGCAGAAGCTTATCTTTGATGTGAGTACACCCATACTTCTTTGTTGTAAATTCTTAATTCGCCCATTGGATTTTTTGTTCTGGTATGGAATCAAACTGGTCGAATATTAAGGAGATCTAAGTTTGTTTCTATTAGTTTTACAATTTCAGAGTTTCTTCCCGAAAGACAACTCTCTTTGGCCTTCTACAACATGAAGAATCAATCGTTTGTTATTTTGCAGATCAAGGAAAGAGGAGGCTAAAACAAATGGTAAATTGTAGATCATGTGTTGTATGGCCATGTATTTGTTTCGCGTACCGAATTTTTTTTTGTTTGGATAGTACCTTGTAGAAAGTGTGTATTCAACTTCTACGTATATAGATGTGAATTGATCTGAGACATCAATATGACTTACTGAAAAATAGAGAATTTTCAATAGATCCTTTGTTGTAAATAGTTTAGCATTTCATCCAAATCTAATGCACTGACGAAAATACAGCAAGGAATTATCAAAATTCTTGGCAGATGGACAATCCAAATAATGTTTGCTATACTGGTGCTTCAAATAACTTGGAATAAAAAGTAAGAAACAATTGACAACTAGCAAAGCTGTGCTTTCTTGAACAACCTAGAGCAATTTTACAAATTTATCCAAAGAACTCACCAACGTTATTTCTATCAGGATTGCTAAATTTGCTATTCGCTGTCAATCGTTCTTGTTGTTCTTTCACCTTTTACAATTCACTTTCCTTCTCATCCAGGGAATATATCAGGGACAATAAATTCAAAACCTTTCCGCATGAAAACTTAAGCGAACTTCTTGTCAACATCCTTCCACATTGCTTTCTTCAATCAGCGGGTGTGCTCCACAAATCTCCCGTTTTATTTTCAGTTCGCACCCCTCACTGGTAAATTGTAAATTTTGACGAGGTAATCCCGAATGTCTCGTTTTGACATGCGAGGATCCAGTTCGAATCTTACGCAGCTTACACACGTACGCAATCGTGCTCGCGTCTCTCAGAGAAGAATGATACATTACAATACATCTCTACTCCAAGGGTTGAGCCAGACTTCGCAGCGTACGCTGGGTATGTTTCATCATAGGAGCGTACGCCGCGTACGCCGCGCAGTCTGGCCCAACCCCAACTTCATCCGTTTTGAAACTAGAATACACGAGAGCTTCGCGAACGTTTGGTTAACAAGCGACAAGTTTCAGTTAATTCACTACTTGGATTCGTAAATGAACGTGTTTAAGCTCGCTGAAAAACGAATGCGTCATCGTGGTTGATGCCTTTATTTTTGCTTACAAACAAGGCAACAGACAACATGACATTATATGTAAACTTAGTTTGCCCGTGGAAGGATCACGAATCAGAAAGCAAAAAAAGAGGAGAGTTAGGATGTAGAGCAACCAGTTCACAACAGAACAACTGGACCCGTAACAAACTCAATATCATAAAAAGCAAATTTGGAAGAAGAGCAAATTAGTAGCTGCTTGATGAGATTTGAGAGTAGTTACAATTCTTTACAATGTGTTTTAACACCAGTGGGAACTCTTCCGTTTGCCAAGTTGCGCGATTTTGTGAAATGGCGAAACGATGTGAAAGTTTCTAGAGAGCAGAGTATGAGAGGAACTATCACATACTGAGAGTGGACAAGGACAAATCAGCAATGAAAACAAGTACCCGAACATCAAGCTAGCTGATATAAAAAAATAGAAAATAAACAGAACTTTTGAGAGGAGAAAAGGTTACAAGAATGTGCCATAAAAATGTGACGCTAAATGGTCCAAGAACTCACATATATCTCAAACAGGGATCGAAATCCAATGAAAATCCAGATTGTACTAACTTTGCAGGCTGCGGAGCTTCCTCTCCCAATTTTCCAAATACCGTTTGTTCTGCTCCAGCAGCACCATCACCGGAGATATCGGTAAGACGCTCGGCAAATCTTTACAAAATCAAGATAGTTATACAACAGTTTAGTTGAGAGCATGTCACTCATACCTTCCCAAATTTTCGCTAATTTCTGCACCAGGTGCCAGAACAGGTTCTTCGTTACCACGTCCCCGAGCAGTCTTTCGCGATCTGAGCATCGACGGTGTTATATCTGTAAGTATGCAGAATGCATATGATGAAAAGGAACTACGTTGAAGGTCTGCATCATTGGAGATGTCTATAAAGAAGTGGTGGAAAGATGGCATCAACAACAAACAAAAGGATTTCAAAATGACCTAGACGGAGAGAACATTTTGACAGGCTGAGAAGCCGGCTACTATCGGAACTATTCAAAAAATGCATATTCCCGAGAAAGCGATCCGTTTCTGCGCCGCGAATACGACCGGAGGACCGGTAACGGAAGAGTGGACAATCCAAAATAGCGGTCATCCGAGAATAGGAGAGAAAACAAACAGATAGAAAAAGAAATGAGGAAATTCGGAGCTTCGGCGGACACTCGGAGCGGGATGTACCGTAATCCGCGTGGGTCCCTACGCGAATCCGCGCTGCCGCCGCCGCGCGGATGCGATCGCCCACTCTGCCGTTACCGGTCCTCGTGGTTAACTCGCGCAGTAGATCCGCCCACAAAACGGGAGATCGCGAGAAAATGGGTACTGCCGAGGCACACCCGCTTTTGTCGCGACTTTGAGGCTAATCGCGATACTAGATAGATACTAGATACTAGGCGGGCGAGATTCATAATACCTGTCGCGACTTTCGCTGCTCGCGATTGCTTATGTACGCAGCCAACTCAAGAGCAGTAAATCGCGCCATTTACGCGCTTTTTTGGCCCTGTTTTCGCTCTTCAGCCTGCTTCCAATTGTTTTCTTCGCAATTTTCGTTTCCATTCTCACTTCATCTCAGTGAGCGCTTCGATAGAAGTCTTTTGTCTGATCGGATTGGCAGATGTGATATTATTAATGCTCTGAACTGATTCTTCGTGGTGTCTTGACCGAGTCTTTCCTAGTTCTTTATCTGAAGTAGTAGTCTCGAAAAATAAGTTTGGTAACAAAGCAGTCTTCATAAGGTTGTTTTAGATTCTACGTCTTTCTGTTTGTTCACTCTGTACACCGGTTTACAAATCGTGCGGATGTGGAAGCGCGAACAACAATCTGTGGCATCACAGTGCGCAGGATTGTCAATAATCGGTCCCAGCACTACCCATCATAGCTCGATTCGAAAAGCCGATAGATTTTGTTGTGTGCATACGTTTTGCATCCTAGTTATACGTTGATTTTCGATTACTTTTTGCCTATTTGCTATCAATCGATAGCAAATAGGCAAAAAGTATATCAATTGCTGATTACCAATTCTATCACTTCCGTCAACAACTTGTGGCATGGTGGTCAAAATTCTTTTCCTCACTGATTATCGAGGACCAAGTGCTAATCGCTGAATGGATGTGTCGGCTCTTCTGCGGTTGCTGCCCTTGGTCTGCCCCTCTCACCTACGGCACTCGTGGCTAATATGTGGCAACATGCAACAACATGTTGGCGCTGAGGCTAATAGCCAAAATGTTCCGCCAACGTGTTTGCTGAGATGTTGATGAATGTTGCTTACATGTTCGCCGTACTTGCTGCAGGTCTGAGACGCAAACCAAGAGTAGCAGAAACATTGTAAGGGACTATAATCAGAGTCGGAGTTCAGCAACTCATGATTGTACGACTAACGCGCATTTAATGTCTTCGAGGGAAAATGCATCTTCCTTGTGGGAAAATTGTCGAAACCTTTTGTAAAAACTTGTTCAACTTGTAATTTGGGAAGCGCAGTAGCATGTTTGTAAGGAGTGTTGTAAGGCGCTTTCTGGCATCTGCTGCACTTTTTGGCCAGCGCTTGTTGCTTGTTCTTTGACTTGACTGCTGTCTGAATTAGATTCGAGACTTCAGTTTTAGGAGTCAGTGGCTGTACCCACCATACACAGAAATCTATCACCATCCACAGTCTGCCGAAAACTTTGACCCACGCTATTGCCAGATAAGAGTGTAGCACACCTACTTTGATTTAGTTGATAATACTTAGTAACTAACCAACCACAGTTGCAGGTTTTTCCAAATATACTCATTTTCAATCTCAATAAGGAAACAATTCTGTATGGTTATTCAAATAATGTCCGAGGAGTCTTTCTTCCAGGATTTATCCACTTTTGATGATGTTGGACCGAATACATGGGTCGAACAAGGTGTCCGCAATCATCAAAACATAAATTGGTCTTGTGCGCTGTTGTGCGATTAACAAACGGAGTACCAGCTCAGACAATCGCTGGGGGCAGGCGGTCCGCAAACTCGCGTTTTTCTGCAGGCGCTCAGCAGAATTTTGGGGCGTGGTTTACTGTCTAATGTTCTGCCAGCGGGCAGCAACACAGAATTTTCTGCAGGCGCTCGTCAAATAATCTCTTTCAGCGAGCGCTGGTCAAATTTTCAGCTGGCGCTCGGACGGTTTTCAAGCAGTTTCGGGTATACGCCGAGCAAAGGTGAGACTCTACATGGCAGAGGAGTCATCGATGGCTTAATTACTCAAGTTTGAGGTACGTTCTCTCAGCGGGAAGTACCTGAGGGCTGCGCGGTCCTCGATAAAGGACCGTGTGGCCCTCGAAAATTCTGCATATTCTCGCGGAAAGTCCGCGAGAATGCGGCCACTGCGCCGCAGCTAATCTGCAAGAAAACCGCAATTGTTCTCCAAGTATTCGTTCAAAATTTCGCTGAAATTCTTCCAAATATCTGCAAGTGGACCGCAAGAAATCAGCGAACTATTATTCCGGTGTCCGCTTGCCCAAAAATGACATGGCCGCCTGCCCCCGGCGATTATCTAAGTAGGGGGCAGAATACAGAGTTTTCTGCGGGTGCTCGTCAAATAATCTCTTTCAGCGAGCGCTAGCCAAACTTTCAGCAGGCGCTCGGACTCTTTTTAAGCAGTTTCGGGCGTACGTCGAGCAAATATGAGACTGTACGCTGCAGAGGTGTCATCGGTGGTTCAATTACTCAAGGAGGTACTTACTCTTAGCGGAAAGTACCTGAGGGCTGTGCGGTCCTCCACAAAGGACCGCGCAGCCTTTAAAAATTTTGCATATTCTCGCGGGAAGTCCGCGAGAGTGCTGCCAATGCGCTTCAACTAATCCATAGAAAATCGCAATAGTTCTCCGATCATTCGTCTGAAAATTGGTCAGCATTCTTCCAAATTTCTGCAAGCGGGCTGCAGGAAATCAGCGAACTATTTTTCCGGTGCCCGCTTGCTCAAAATTCGCATGGCCGCCTGCCCTCGGCCATTATCTGAGTCCCGTCCACACCCCGTAAATCACGAATGTCTGAGGCGGCTCACTAGTTTAGAAATATCACTTTATTACTGCATTCCCAACCGTGATATAAACATGAAAACAGCTTGTTAAAATATTGAGTCCTGCCTCCTATAGTACACGAGTCGCACGAAATTGTTAATAAGGATGATCAAAGGAAAAATCTTACTTGGACATAGTTCAGCAACTTATGGACACTGACAATGTTTGGATCGCTATCCACAACGCTCAAAAAGTGATTGAAGTGTGCGCAGTAGAGGAAGAACAAAGGGAGCGAAAAAAAGAGAAAGCTTTGAACACCGCCTAAGTAAATGGTTACGCGTACCACAAGCAGTTCAAGAAGCATTCTTTACGCAAAATCAGAGCATGAGTCATTACAGCGCCCGCACTCGGCAGCTGCGTGGCAGGCACGCCTGCGCGCGCTCACTCTACAGCGATATGTGCGATATTGTGCAGTCGACTTTACCTTTCGACTGCACCAATGCTCGACCAAGAGGTGTGGTTCAATTTCAGTTATCTCTCTGGAAGTGCCTTCAATACTAAATTTTCCTGTCTCCCATCCATGGGTTTCCAGTGAGGTTATCGTCTATGACTAAATTCAAAGTTTGTATTGAACTCAACTTTGCGGTTCTGACTCGCGAAATTCCTTTTCTATGTTTATAATTCCGCATCCACATCAAACCTCATACCGTTACAACGAAGTTTTTCTCTTACTATAGTTGACTGTACCCACCCAATTGCAGGATACCGATTCGCTTAAGGAGTAGCATGTGCTCAGATAATCGCCGGGGGCAGGCGGCTATGCGAATTTAAGCAAACGGGCACAGGAAAAATAGTTCTCCGATTTTTTGCGGTCCGCCTTTAGAAATTTGAAATAATTTTGGCCAATTTCTAGACGAACGCTCGGAGAACTATTGCGGTCTTTCTATGAATAAATTTCGGCCCAGTGGCCGCATTCTCGCGGACATTCCGCGAGAATATACAAATTGTTGGGGGCCGCACGGTCCTTTTATGACCGCACTGCCCAGGGTGCCTTCCACTGAAAGAAGGTACTTCAAACTTGAGTAATTAAACCAACGGTGACACCTCTGCCACATAGAGTCTGACCATTTTCGACGCTGCTGATAGTTTGGCAGCTCTCGCTGAAAGAAGTTATTTGCCGAGCGCTTGCAAAAAATGCTGTAATGCTGCCCGCTGGCAGAATATGCGACCGTGAAAGAAGTGCCGCCCGCTCAAGGTTTGACCACGCTACAAAGTTCTGCTGACCGCCTGCCCCCGGCGATTATCTGAGTGGGAGAAGGTACGACAAGATCAGCATTCGCATTCTGCAATTATGCCTTTTCTTCAAGTAACTAGTCAGTCACAAGTCGACTCGTTGAGTTAACGCTAACAAGTTGGTGTTTCACAACTTATGCTTGCCACTAACTCGCTAACCGAAACTCTGAAAATGCATGATGATGCTGCACGTTGTTACTGCATATTCCTCATGTTACCACGAGAGATTAGAATTGTAAAATCAAAAATTCTGGAAATAGGTTGTTGCATAAGTCTTGTTACACTTTAATTTCTTATGACGATAAGTCGAGAGTTGCATTATTTTAACAGGGCTCAGGGTATCATTCGATAGAGAAGAGCAAGCTCTACAAGATATTATGCAAAAGTTCGCACCAGCTCCGACCCATCGGAAGTTTGCATCCGGACTGCTAGTCGCACTGAAAGCTCAAAAAATTAGGAAAAATCATATTCTTGTTCAAAAAGAATCCTCCACATCTCCAACTTATTCACGGAGATTGCACACCACATCAGAAACTCATATGTACCGTTGCTGTATTTTTTCCTCATCTAGAAATTGGAACATGAAAATTTTCTTGTTTTTACAAAAACGGAGCTATGCCGTTTCTATTCATGTAGCTGTATACTACAAGCCCTCAAAAGTATAACCAAAAACTTTCAGCTTTCCAAAAGCCCTTGTTTTTGCGATTGCCGAACTTAGCTTTTTCACTTGGGTGTTCAATGTTAAGTTAAGTAATTTTCGAAAACTAGGGCTTTTGGAAAGCTGCAAAATTTGGTGTTATACTTTTAAGGGCTTTAGTATACAGCTACATGAATAGCAACCGCATACCTCCGTTTTTGTAAAAACAAGAAAATTTTCGTTTTCTCGACTTCCAGATAAGGAAGAAGTACAGCAACGGTACACATGAGTGTCTGTTATAGTGTGCAAATTTCATGAGCAAGTTGGAAATTCGTAGGATTTTTTTCGAACAAAGATATGAACTTCCCGCGATTTTTTCTCTGATTTTAAGCTCAATGCTTGACAGATCTGGACATTCAAACGCTCATAACTTTTTTCGGAAACTCATTCCGCAAAAAATAAAAGCGGACTTGAAATCAGCGTTCAAAGACGCATCTAATGATACACATCTCATCTTCAATTGCCAACTAATGTTGATATCCTTCTCTTGTTAGAGAAGTGACTACTGTAGGATTACGGTAGGTAAGTTGAAGGGGGTTGAACCATAAAAAGCCATATTTTGCCTCAGAAAAACAAGACAACTCGAAGACTCACATTGGGCTTATCAAAGTTACTGATTCCAAATGTTAAATTCGCAATTGATCATGATGCTTCATCATAAAGTTATGCGAGTCAAGCAAAACGGCCTTTATTATTCCGCCTCTTGGAAAGCTTTGCAATTTTGTGCATAACTGAGTATTGAACACAGCGTCCATAAAAACCCTGTTGCACAAGTTCTCACATTTTCCTGAAATTTCTTGAAAGGACAGCTTCTTCTACAGTAACACCGCGTGCTTAAAGATTCTATCGTAATAAAGCAATGAAGAGCGATCGGTAATTTGCTCTATAGTGCAAATCTAAGTTAAAGTTAGCTCTAGAAACGCATGTAAGGCTCCTCGTAAGCCTCCATTACAAGGGAGTTATTAACGTTCAAACAGTAGGCACATTCTTATGGGACAATTTATAGAGAGGAGGGAGTATATTTCCTAAAACAAGTGCATATTTGAGACTTGTTTAAGTGGATATGGCTGACATGAACACGTGTCTCATATACTCAAACCTGCGTCAAATGAGAGTCTTTATTCATCTTGTGTGAATTAGGGGCACTTTCTCTGTATAACGCGCTCCTCGGTGAGCTCCAACGCCAGATAGTAGTATGTCTTTACTTTACGGCCTGTGTTTATATACTTTGATGGGATGTCTATGCAGAATTTAGTTCGTTCCTAAACAGCATTCGTGTTATCTTATGAGTTCGGTACTTCACTTCTTTTGGAAATCTATGATCAAAGAAAAAACAAGCTGTACCTTATTCCAAGTGCACCAATGTATGACCATGATGTATGGATCGATTTCGGTTATCTCTGTAGCAGTGCCTTCAATTTTGAATTTTCCAAATTTACCCGGTTTGGCGGGTTGTTTATTTATGAGTCGGACTGTGTTCACTTAAATTCAAAGATTGAATTGAGCTCAACTTTGCAGTCCTGACTCACAAGGTTCTCTCTCAAAAATCCATATTCTCGCATCATTGACCGGTTTACGGTTACAAAGAAGTTTTCCTTTTACACCAGTTGACTGTTCCCACCCAAGTTCCCAACAGTAGCATGATGAGAGAAGGCACAAGAAGGTTAGCGTTCGCATTCTGCAATCATACCTTTCATTTGTTATATGATAAGCACCGATTTAAGAAAAACGATAATTGCTTCATACAAGTAACTAGCTGCTTACCCGGCTCCGCACGGCCCTGTCAAAAACGATAAAGGTTCCATTTCTATCCCTGCACACCTTTACCTGTGCCCACCTACTTAGATACTTGGATGGCCCAGCTTCACGTGACGTGCGGACCCCAGCTCAGAAGTTTCCATTTCTCCCTGTCCCTCGCTTCAGACATCCACGATCCTCTTGGCTGGCGTCGGTGGCTGCGTCCACGAGTTCCAGGTGCAAAAATCGTATCCAGCTGATTTCTCAGCTGGTCCATCTGTTCCACGAACACGTCTGCCCATCTCGTTGGAGGTCTTCCTCGGGAGGTTTTGCTTCGCGAGGAATCCAATCCGATGTTCATAGTATCCATCTGTCGTCTGTTCTTCTCATAATGTGACCGATCCATCGATGCTTCGCTTTCGCAACGTAATCCGCTGGGTCACGAAGACGGGACATTCTCCTCATATCCGTACTGCGAAGTCCGACGAGATGTTGTTTGTGTCGGGTCATCTTCGGAAGACTACGCTCTAGCGCTCTGTGGGTGGTCCTTAAAGCTTTCGAAGTGCCTATGGTGACAGCCCAAGTCTCAGCTGCGTAGCAGAGCGCTGAGAGAACGGTAGAGTCGAACAGGTCGGCACGAAGCTCCGGGTCCGTCAGTTGGTAGATGGCTTCCTTCAGAGGCCCGAAGGCGGCCCAGGCTGCTCTTCTTCTCCTGTTAAGTTCTTCCCTCAAGTCGTTCTCCATGTACATCGAACTTCCGAGATACACGTAAGAAGACGTCTCCGTTATAGGGTTGCCTTCCAATTCCATTTCTGCATCTTCGCAAAGGTCGTTCTTCATGAACTGAGTCTTCTTCCGATTGATTTGCAATCCGATCTTCTTCCCTACTTCGTTCAGTTCCTTCAGCATCGTTTCTGCTTCAGTGATACTGCTCAAAAAGAGAACGAGGTCGTCCGCAAAACAGAGGTTCGAAAGGAACCTCCCATCACTCGTATGCCTCTCTCGTCCCAGTCCAGTGACTTCATCACCCAGTGCAAGGCCACGGTGAACAGCTTCGGCGAAATTGTGTCGCCTTGTCGGATCCCCTTCCCTATTGGAATAGTTAGGGGGCGTTGGAACAGCTGCATCGCCGTTGTACAGTCCTTGTAGCAGTTGGCTGATGCTGTCAAAGGCTTTCTTGTAGTCGACGAAGGTTAGGACGAGAGGCAGTCGGTACTCCCGGCAGACTTCTATGACTCTCGAAACCGTCTGGATGTGGTCCATGCAACTGAATCCCTTGCGGAATCCAGCTTGTTCTTAGGGTTGGGCTTCATTCAATGTCCTAGATATGCGAGCGAGGATAATCTTCGTGAAAAATTTGTAGAGCACACTCAGCCGGCATATTGAATGGTGGTTCCAAAGATCCTCCCATGCGCCCTTCTTAAGGAGAAGGACGGTTCTTGACGTTTTCCACTGGTCGGAAGTCCTCTCCTTCTGAAGGTAAGACGTCAAATGCGACGCAAGAACCTCGTGTAGACGGTGTCCTCCGGCTCGCAGAAGTTCGACGGAAAGATGATCTGGTCCTGGAGCCGTGGACTTCATGGTCTGTATCGCGATGCGCATTTCAGAAGGCAAAATCCTTGGTAGTAGTTCTTCAGTTAGAACAACGGGCATCGGCACGGGTGCTGATGAGCGGAAGAGGTTGGTATAGAAGTTCTTCGCGATAGATTCCATCTTGTGTCGAAAAGAAGTCGGAGTCCCGTCTTCGTACAATAGTGCAGCCAGCGGTACGTGATATTCACAGAGGTCCCTTCGGCACTTTTTGAGACTTCGTCTTCCCTCGGCTGATTCCAGAATCTTGGCTTGCCTGTGCTTCCTGAGATCCTCCTGCAAAGCTGTTCTGCAACTGGCATTGGCTATCAGTCGCGTGAGATGGGTTGCAATCGGATCCTGTCTCAGAAATCTTTTTCTTTCGAGCAATTCCTTGGTGGTCTTTAAAATACGTTCCAAGTTCTTCTCAGAAGTCACTGAGGCGCACTCTCCGCAGGCTCGCAATCCTTTCAGAAGCCGGTCGTAGTCGTACGTTGGGTCCTCCTCGATGGGCCAGTCACAGCTTGATATGAGCTCCTCCAGCCTGTTACCGTCATAAACATTCAGACATTCTTCCTTCTTGCGGTACTGTGGCAGACTTTCTTTTCCAGCCTTCGACTGCATCCTACCTTTGTAAAGGCGGTGATCGGAGCCACTGCAGAAGGATGGAACTACTGAGACATCGAGCAAGCTTCACCTTCGGTTGGTGAGAATGTGGTCAATCTCCGCGTGAGTTGTTCCGTTGGGCGATTCCCATGTCCACCGGCGATGTTCTTTCTTCATGAAGATGGAATTTCCATGGAAAAGTCGTGCGGCGGAGAGAAGTCCAACAAGAAGGTTGCCGTTTTCGTTCCGGAGCCCATATCCAAATTTCCCGATCCTATATTCCTTTTCCAGTGGCATCCCGATTTTCGCGTTGAAGTCACCCACAACAAACTTGTAGAAGGACTTCTCGTTGCGGACGACCTCCTCCACATCTTCGTAGAAACATCTAGTTCTGATTCGTCAGCTGCTGATGTTGGAGAATAGCAGTTGATGATGCTGATAGTCTTCTGATGTGGAGGGCGTAGTCGTAGGATGCCTAGTCGAGGTGATAGGATCTCGTGCGAATCGACACAATGGACGATAGATGGGTGGACGACAAAGCCGACGCCTCCCACGTTTCGTGATGGAACCTTCTCACCACGATTGATGAGGGTCCCATCACTCATCTGTCGCACTTCCTTCTTCCTAAACTTCGTTTCCTGCAGAGCGATGACGTGGTAGGATGTGCTCTGCAGCGTCGAGAAGAGCGTGGAGGTCGGCGTTTGTAGAGACTGTCCTGGCATTGTAGGAGCAGAGCATGAGGCAATCTTCATGGGGCGTCCGGCCAGACGTGTCGTTTTTGTCCGATACAAAAGGCGCCCTAAAAACCCTGACATCGTTCTTGCTACCACCCGGCGCCGTAGGCGGGATCCGACGTACAGGGTTTTTTCTAAATCTTCTTGCTGTCTGAGTAATAAGATTTGTTCTCCTACAAGAGCAGACTTACTGGGCCAACTCTTGATTTCCACGGGGCGATCGCTGACCCCGCCTGTGCCCACTTCTACATGCAATTCCCTATTCCCGCTGTATTAGTAATCAGCATGCTCACCTACCTCCTCACCAACCCCCAGCCCCGTAGCTCGAACTTTGCAAAAAACAGCAGCAAAAAATCCATAAAAGTAAGGATAATTTCAAAAAACTGATGGCGTTATTCGGCTGTCTGGGTCCTAAAATGTTTTGCGGTGGGTTTTGCTCAAACTCGGTATGTGGGGGTTATTCAAGCCGCTGATGACGAATATCGTATAGTCATTTCGCGTGGCAGCGGGTAAAATCATGAACCTACCTGAAACCTTGGCAGGGAATTACCTAAAGGCTGTCTCAAAAATATCGTGCTTAATCCCCACGACAAAAGCAATTCGTTTGGTACGAAAGTTTCCCACGACCGTAATGCTTCCTTTTAGGACCACTGCCATACACCCTCGGGTGGCTTTTGCCTAAGCAAAAACAGGTGGAGGGACAATTGCCGCGTGCCTTACGCGTTGGAACAGGTTATCAGGATGGCGTTGGAGACCGCCATGCAAAACAACCGTTTCCCCATTTCGTGAATATTTGGAATTGAATCGGCCCGAAATCGAAAAAAATATCCAAAACCCTGCAACTCACCATAACTTCACTATTGCGTTATGACAGCGAGCAAGCATCATATTCATAAGCGATATACTTGTGAACCGTTACGTGTAAGGTTTAGAGCAAATCTGGAACTTCGACCCATCTACACCCACCGTAACCCAAGAAAATGCACTATTTTGCGAAATCAGCATAATATTCATGTTCAGCGCGCTAAGTGACCACCCTACACGAAGTTCAAAGCAAATCTATGTTTTCGACCTTAACCGTATAACCACCATAACTCTATGAAAAGGTACCAATATGCAGGGAGAGTATGAAATTTGTAATCAGCATGTCGAATAAGTTCTCTGGACCGAACTCTAGCCGAATTCATGATACTTCCTACAGTACACCTACCGTAACCACGCGGAGAGACGTTCTGCGGAGAAAGTGTGATATCTGTAATCATCATGTAAGATAACCCTTATACACGAAGTTTGAGCAAGCTCTACGACAAGAAAAAATTTTGGGGCCCGGATAGCCGAATAGCGCCAAATTAATATTGCATTCGTAATCAGCCTGCTCGATTACCCCCTCCCCTCCCCCTCCCTGTGCCAACTCCGAGCCCCTTAGGTAAACTCTGCCAACAAGTCGACAAAAATCAATAAAATCGATATCGATCGATGACAAAAAGTAGCCTATGACACCCGTCGGGGTCCGAAGTGTATGTGTGCCAAGTTTGGTCCGGATCGATTCAGAAATAAAAATTTCTATTCGGAACATACGTACATACAGACATACAGACAAGACGTTCAGCATTATATATAAGACTAGCTGGCTTACCCGGCTCCGCCGTATGTTCCAATAGAAAATTCCATTTCTTAACCGATCCAGACCAAACTTGGCACACATACACTTCGGGCCCCGGCGGGTGTCACAGTCCACTTTTCGTTATCGATCGATGTCGATTTTATCAATTTTTTGCAAAATTTGAGCTAGGGGGCTGAAATTTGGCAGAGGGGTGTAATCGAGCATGCTGATCACCTCCGTGGGGGTGATCAGCATGCTCGATTACACCCCTCTGCCCTGTGCCAACTCCCAGCCTCGTAGCTCAAATTTTGCAAAAAATCGATAAAATCGATATCGATCGATAACGAAAAGTAGCCTATGACACCCGCCGGGGCCCGATGTGTATGTGTGCCAAGTTTGGTCCGGATCGGTTCAGAAGTGGAATTTTCTATTCGGAACATACGTACAGACAGACAGACTACATACATACATACATACATGCAGACAAACAGACATTCAGCTTTATATATAAGATAACTAGTCAGTGACAAGTTAAATCGTTGAGTTAACACTAACAAGTTTGTGTTTCAACGACTTATGCCTAGCACTAACTCTCTAACCGAAATTCTGATTATGTATGATGATGCTACAGTTTGTTACTGCATATTCCTCATACCGCGGAAGATTAGAATTGTACAATCAAAAATTGCAAAAACATATCATTCGATAAAGCGAAGCTTTGAGAAAGATATCCTTGAAACATTCACGCGATGGTTTCTTCGCTAGTAAGCTTAAAAAATATAAAATTGAGACCTTTGAAAGATTAATTTTACACCCTTAAACTTTCCTACACTCTACGCGTGAGAGTTTGATAGAAACAGTCGTATCTTCTTTCGGATGAAAATCAAAAGAGGACGGGATGCTGATCAAAGCAATGTTTGCTTGCTTTCACCTAAGTAATTCTGTCTTTTTTTCGTATTCTAGTCAGGAAAAATACGGCGAGTGTTCTTGTAAATGTTAGGCTTCACGTGAGCAACTTGAGGATATGGGAATTTTTGAATGGAAGTTCAGTTATTGGGTCTTCAAAATTTTTTGGACCTTGAATTCAAATTTAGCATGAAACAGTCTTTGCACTGACGCTTCAACTTCTTGGAGGTTGTTTTGCTATAAGAATTTGCTCCATTGGAGAGCATCATTGGTAACACTTTCAGCTTTAGGAAGACCATGCAGGACACATTTTTTGCAATCGATTGAAACACATCAAAACAGAGAAACGAAAGTGTACTGGTAAAAAAACGCCTCAACAGCTATTTATGTGAGCGCAGCTTCGATATAACCGCAGCATATTTTTGATTTTTGATATAGGAAATCGGTATTTGCACTGATGTGTTGATGAAATTGGCGTCCCGAAGCATTGCTTAACTGTGGAAAGGAGATCAAAGCTTAACGACAAAGCAGTAAAGTTGACAAAGCATCAATATTCTTATAATGCATTCGAATGGCATGGCGATGAATTTTACACAAAACTGTTCGCATAAAGTAGAAAACACGACCCTTTCCTTCTAACGCATTTTTACACGCCTAGTCTCACAAAGGAACGATCCCAACTTAAGGTGGCGAATTGGAATAAACCGCATACCATTAGATGCGTCTTGATGAGCTGATTTCAAATATACCTTCCATATCTGCGACAACGTTATATGGAAGAAGTTATGAAAGGTTAGAAATGTGAAGTAACGGGGGTTTTGATGCATAATTTGCTTTAAAATCCAACTCGGAAGCGCACGACTAGCATCATATTGAATGTACAGATTTCACGGAATGCTCACATTCAAAAAAAAACGCAAATAAATGTTTTTGAACAGCTAAAAAGCAACTAAAGTTCTTTGATAAAAGCTATGAGCAATGGAAAGTCCAAATTTGGCAAATATACAACGCAATACCTCGAAAACTAGTTGTTCAAAAACACTTATTTGTGTTTCTTTAGAGTGTGAGCATTCCTTGAAATCAGTGCACTCAATATCATGCTAGTCATACACTCCCAAGTTGGATTTCGAAGCGAATTATGCACTGAAACCCCCGTTACTTCACGTTTTTTTCATAGCTTCTTCCAAATAACGTTGTCGCAGATATGGAAGGTAGATTTGCAATCAGCTCATCAAGACGCATCTAATGATATGCGGTTCATTCCAATTCGCCACCTTAAGTTGGGATCGTTCCCTTGTCAGTATTCATCGCGGAGTCAAGTCAGATTTGAGGAGCAAGAAACTGCACCACATTCTTTGGTTTTCATTGTTAACTAGCTGGCTTACCCGGCTCCGCCGTATGTTCCGAATAGAAAATTCCATTTCTTAACCGATCCAGACCAAACTTGGCACACATACATTTCGAGCCCCGGCGGGTGTCACAGTCCACTTTTCGTTATCGATCGATATCGATTTTATCGATTTTTTGCAAAATTTGAGCTACGGGGCTGGGAGTTGGCACAGGGGGGTAATCGAACATGCTGATCATTCCCACGGGGGAGGGATTGGAAGTGACGGGGTTTCGTCTACCTTTTGGATGCCTTTTAAAGTGAGCGTTGAGGAAAAATCTGGCTTTAGGCTGCTAAAGCAACCAAAATCGACTCAATTGGAGCCTGAACCTCAGTTTCCACCATAAAACCCTTTATGCGTTATCATTATAACCTCAAAATATTGTAGAGGCATTCTTTACACATGAGTATAACTGTACGCCATACTCACAAATGTTCATAAAGCTGCCCTTTGCTTCTTTTTCGAAACATGAGTTGTGCAGCGTAATGATGGTGTTACTCAGTTCCAAATAGCTTGCCAAGTGCTACCTCACTCAAATATTTGACAGTAATTTATTTAATTGATAGTGGATACAGCTTGTATTGTATGTTAACACATGATTCTCCTAAGAAATTGGGTCAGAGCCACAATTAGCTTTGGGGCTTGTCGCAATGAGTTTTTGCAGGGTGAAATAGTTATACTTGAATGCTATGATCTCGAGAAAGTTGTGATCATGAAATACGGACTCCCTTCATAGAAACAACGCCTTTGCTTTATTTAATGTTCCTGAGGACATTGTAAAAGAAGTTTGAAGGCAAAAATTCGAGCTAATGATTGCAGCAATGTCAATGTCGGATCTGCTTCATCAGCAAAAAGCCAGATTTTTTTCCTCAATGCTTATGTTATAAAATATCTAGAAGGTAGACCAAACCCCGCTGCTTCTTATACAGCTGAGAAACTGCAGATTTCTTTCTCAACGCAGGTTTCTGGAGCGAAATACCTGTGAAAGCATTTTCAAGGCAAAAAAAGCAGATAATCAGTTCTTTTGGAGGTGTAACACAGCTTGACTAAAGCAACTGTTCAACACTTTTAAGTGTGTACCTATCTCAAAAAATCGGAAGCGAAGAGGTGATTCGACCACTAAAAACTTCAGGTGGACCTATAATTTTGACAAGCCTTCAAGTCTGCTTTTTTAAAATTTTTGATTTTTTCTTCAATAACTGAACGAAAGCGAGACCAGTTTTGGTGGCTGAAGTAGACTGATAAAAACACGGTTGTACCAATTTGGAACATTTTATTGACAACAGGATGAGTTGTGACATTTTCTAGAGTGGACCTATAATTTTGTCCAGCACTATATCGAAATATTCGAAAGTATGTTGGCACCAAAGTTTCGAACCCGAGATTTTCGAAATAATTGAATATTTGAATATTCTAGTCGATCTGAAAAGGTACATTTGGTCTAATATGAGAATAGATGAATAAATGAAGGGGTCTTTACTTGTATGTCTCTTCATTCGAGTTGGGAGAATAACTTGTTCAAACAAAGAACCCAAATGTGGAGGACACTCATTCGAAAATTCGAGTTGTTGCAAATGGACGAACCGCATGTGCGAATGTTCGAATAATGAATACCGTTCATTTAAACACTCGATGCTCAAAAACGCTCACCAGCCACTTCCACTTTTGACCATTTAGCATTCATCTTATTTGCTTCGTCATACTAGGCATGTCATCTCATAAATGAATTCACGTACCTGCTTATCAATCACTCTTGCGATGCAGTTGTTCAGATTCGTTTGCATTTTACATCTATTTAGGTGATCCAAAACAAAATCCAAATTTAATGGGGCACATTTTGAACATTTCTGAAGTCTCTTTCTGACCTAACGCTTTTAAAGTGACCTTCGCAGGTTATCCTGACAGCACCTTGCTGCACCTTACATACAATACTTCGAGCGGTGCTTCAAAGAGTCAGACAGGTTTTTTTGAACATCCGAATTTATGCCGTTGCACTCCAATTCCTTAGACATCTGACTTATCAGTCGAAAGAGCTTTTCAAGCTTGTTTCCAACGCTTACTTGAATGCGCAAAGATTCTTCATTATTCGTTTCAAAGAGGCAGTTTAATGAAATGTGCGAAGTTTGGCGAGGATTTTAGGCTAAAGATCATGTGGACTACAATTGTTTCAAATGAGAACAGTTGAGGCAAATTTCGAATGCATGGATGCAACGCAAAAAGCTCAATCGAATAATAACTATCTAAGGTGAGCTCATTCGATTACATTGACAAGAGAATAGATAATACGTCTCCCAATACTCAATGCTATATCTTCCTAAAGCGTCGGGACCACCAGGCTATCGTGGATCTGGTGACATTTCCATCATCCATTGCTAAGCAGATTTCTTTGATAGGCTCACTTGTTTTAGTGCGGCGGAGCTGCTCATAGTTCAAGATTATTTGAAGTGGTAAGCTTTGATTTTAAGCGGTTATAAAAATAACGCCATGTGAAAAGGCGAATCTATAAACCTCGATCAGAAAACTTTGTTGGGTACCAATCCCTGCCAGAACTTGGTTCCAATTAGGTCTATTTGAGAAAACTGCTTTAATTCTCTAAATGCCCCATTACTTTTGGATCACCCTAATATTAGTTATTGATTTATCATAACTTATCTTTTCTTAAAGTAAACACGAGTGAAAAAGTTGTTTATGAAGAAGATTTAGATAATTTAAGTTGTTTATAAACTTTAGATAAAAGATGAAGAAGAGTGTCACTTATTATCTTTACATGCATAATGAAAAGAAAACAAAGCATTTTTTGCAGAACCACACATACCATCACATGATAATATTGCGTGAGCGCCCTGCGCCCTGCTAGCTGATTTCGTATTAGTCTCTCTGGCTACCTCTTTCGAGAGGATGAAGGGGCGAGCGCCAGCTCTAATCTCTGAAGTGCTGCAAAGAGTTTTGTGTGAGCGAACAATTTGTAAAGAATCTACCAAAGTAAATACCTTTCTTAGTTTCTAAAAGTCAAAAGGAGATCGACGGTGTACTGGTCTCCGTCCCTCTATAAGGTCTGATGAATTTGTGATTAAAACCACCGTTCACAAAGATTTGATGTTGAACGGGTCCTGTACCTGCCAAGTTTCGTAGTAGGAAAAAAATACACCGTCGTGCCTCCCATGAATTTGTAAATTTTTTTCAAAGACTAACTTTCAAAGACAATTTCGAACTTTAGAATCAAATCCCATGTTATGTTCGCTTCTACAGCTGCATCTAAATCGGAAGCTTCAGCCTGACAAGCCAGACGACTTTACTTATTTAGTCTATGCTTATTTAGTCTATGCTGGATCACCACTATAGCCCATTATTCTTATCAATCAATGCAAAAATTGCATGAAGGTCTTCGTGACAAAACCGTTGCGTTTTCCGTTCAAACTCCCTCCGAATTCGTTTTCTGAAAGCTACGAAAAGTCCTGATTTGGCTCCTATCACGCTGTCCAGAGCCCATATTCGGGTTGAAAGCAAGAACGCCCTAAAACCGCGAAAGGTCATAATCATAATCGTGGGTCTGGCTGGACATTTTTTTTGAGATAAGGTCGCGGAACACTTACCATTGCCACCGCTTCTTGGAACTCCCACGTCATGAGCCATGACGCGGGGTTGGAAGTTGTGTATGCGGAGCCACCTTGATATGAAAAAGTTCTTCATCTAAGGATGTTACAAGTTTCTGTGCAGCTGTGATGATCATATTTTTATCGCATCAGTCGGGCAACTTCTGAACCTGCCACGTGAAAAAGCTCCATTAAGCAGCTCTGAATCGGAGAATTTCTTGGCGTTTGTAGGAAGTCAATGCCTATTCACTTATGGTTGCTTCTATCATCAGCTCCTCTCTCATCATAGCTGACATGTCAGGATAACATTTCCATAACTAGAACAAAGTGTGTTAGTTCTTTTGACCACTTGCTGTTGTCCTTGTCCACGAATTCTATATGATTTATTGTGTCGAATAATACAGTACAAATAAATGAGGCGAAAATATATGATGATGAGGTTAACTGGCGACAAGGGAGGACGAACTTCTGAGTCAAGTCGCGGACGCTGCCCGGATGGAAGTGAAGTTAACAAAGCCGGCCCTTCGACCGCACACGTGCTAACTTTGCAGCTGTGCCTTCGCGCAGCTGCGAGTTGCGCAGCTCGCAGCTGCGCCTTCTTTTCATGTCTTCTGATGACTTGCGATCAGAATACAGATCGCGATTCCGCGATAAACAGCGGCTTTAAACATTCATTGTTTTATGTGCCCAACAAATATACGTGTGAAATATAAGGTAGTCAATGCGCTGTCGAATGTCAACTATCACGTAAGATATATCACTTATCTGTGATGACCGCTAAGTGGGACGCGTTTGCTAAAAGCTCTAATCTACTGTGATTCCAACATGTCAATCCTTAGATGGAGGCCAACTTCGCTAATTTCTCGAATATAATTTGCAGTGGAAAGAGAGTCGTACAGAACATGTTTTTGTTGAAAAACAAGGATTACAACTTTGTAGTCACACTCACACGCTGCTGGCGAGAAAGGTAACCTGCGGTGGAAAGCCGTTAAATAGCCAAATCTTCTTGACTGAGCAATCACCCTATACAACTAATCCAATACGGGAAGGATGTTTGGTCTAATTGGCCACTCAAAATGAGATACATACCAAAAACATGCTTGCGTTTGGAACCAGGGCCAAGGCAAGGTGTGGTACGCCACAACTGGGGGGTCGTATTGAGGAGTCAAAAGGGGAGAGGGTCGTAGTTAGGTAATCTGATAATAGTAATAACATGATATTCGTATCATATCCAGAGGTGCGATGGGGGGAGCCGGGCCCACCAGAAGTGAAGGTGGTCCCAGGTACCACTGTCCGGCCAAAAGTGAAGGTGGTAGTGCCGGACACTCACCTCTCAAAAACGTCGACGGGGGGGGGGGGGGTAACGTCGACTGAGCCTATCCTTCCAGGTCGTTGCCGCCAGTGCGCAAAAAATAAGCAAAACAAACGTAAAAAAGATTATTGAAAGCATATTTTTCAGTATACGGCGGCATATATTAGGTGGGTGCAAAAGTTCTGTCGTTTTATTTTCAAAAATTTGTAACTTCGCCAGATTTCAACGGATTTGCTTGCTTTTAATTTCATTAGAAAGATTAGTTCTTCCGCTTTTTGTTGAGCTTCTGATTCACACTGAGTGCCGAGATAAAAATGGAAAACTAAGACCATGCAAACTTTGACCATTTTAAGTTAGGTCACCAAAAATCTGGAATGCTGCAGAAAAATCTGAAATCGTCAGTACTTATGTTTTTTGGCCCACTCTTTGCAAATGTGAAGAGTTTGTGCTGTTTGGACGTCTCTATGAGAAGTTATGATTTTTAATTGATTTTGGCGTTTTCCATGGTAAACTCGATATTCATAACTTCTCACGGAGACGTTCAGACAGCACAAACAATTGCAAAGAGTGGGCCAAAAAACATAAGTACTGACGATTTCAGATTTTTCTGCAGCATTCCAGATTTTTGGTGACCTAACTTAAAATGGTCAAATTTTCCATGGTCTTAGTTTTCCATTTTTATCTCCGCACCCAGTGTGAAACAGAAGCTCCACAAAACAGCGCTTGAAAGCGGAAGATCTAGTCTTTCTAATAAAATTACAAGCAAGCAAATCCGTTGAAATCTGCCGAGGTTACAAATTTTTGAAAATGAAACGACAGAACTTTTGCACCCACCTAGTATATTCAAAATAAACGTGTCTAGTAAATGGTGTGTTTCGAAGTGAAACTCAGCGAGACTCTGCACATTTTATCAAGTAAATTTTGTTATAACGTACTGCGAAGGAATTAGGTCGATCCAGGCATTAATCGAGAGAACCAGAATTCCGAATGATAAAATAACGATAAATTATGCGAAATTTCCACTTTTATAAATCTGTTGTTTGGAGATGTCAGCATGCTACCTCATAGGTTTCAAAGAGTAAATGGTGCTCTATCAGATAGTGAAAGAATCGAGTGGATTTGAGAGATACTCGTAGAAAACCAGAATTCTATAAATTTTCGCCATTTTTGTGTGTTTTTCGACACTTGACAGTTAAACTCATCTAAATCTTGAAAGTGAATGTGTGTGATGTTGCGACTTCATAGGTTTTGTGGAGTATGGTTCCCTATTATAATATATCACAGCCGTACCGATCCATTGAAACAGCGCCGAGATCCAGGGTCTTGAAAAAGCAGGTAAAAAGGGTTTTTGAGATTCCAGCTCATAACTTCTCCAGAACCGCATGAATCATGTTGCAACTTCATAGATTAGATTCTTCTCATCAAGAGCTTTCAGACGATATATAATATGTGGGGGTTTAGGGCCTTTTACGAATTATGCCCGGAGGAGGAGACATTTCATCACAAAGTCTCCCCTGGCGGCCTCCCTCCAATACAGGTGGACTAGGAGGAGACTTTGGTATGAAGTCTCCCCCCCCCCCCCAGAGCATAAGTCGTAGGAGGCCCTAAACCCCTTATTACATATCATCTGAAAGCTCTTGATGAAAAGAATCTAACCTATGAAGTCTCAACATGATTCATGCAGTTCTGGAGAAGTTATGAGCTGTTGAATCTCAAAAAGCGCTTTTTTACTTGCTTTTTCAAGACCCTGGATCTCGGCGCTGTTTCAATAGATCGGTACGTCTAAGATATACTATGATAGGGCAAACCTTACTCCGCAAAACCTATAAAGCCGCAACATTACACACATTCACTTTCAAGATTTAGATAAGTTTAACTGTCAACTGTCGAAAAACACGCAAAATGGCGTAAATTTTTAGAATTCTGGTTTTCAACGACTATCTCTCAAATCCACTCGATTCTTTAACTATCTGATAGAGCACCATTTACCCTTTAAAACCTATGAAGTAGCCACTGCTGACATCTTCAAACAACAGATTTATAGCAATGGAAATTTCGCATGATTTTCACTATTTAATTATACAAAATTCTGGTTCTCGGCCGTTACTGCCTGGATCGATCTTCTTTCTTGGCTGTACGTTATAACAAAATTTACTTAATAAAATCCGTACAGTCCCGCTAACTTTTACTTCCAAATACACCATTTACTAAACACGTTTATTTTGAATATACATATATGCCGCCGTTTACATAAAAAAATGCTTTCAATGATCTTTTTTGCTTATTTGTTCTGCTTATTTTCCTTCTTTATCGTTCAGCGAAAAAAATTTTTTTCCAAAAGTGAAGCTGATCACCCTGTACCACCTCAAAAGTGAAGGTAGGGAAAGAATCGGTTCCCACTATCGCACCTCTGATTATATCCACAATTAGCATGTCAATTAAGCCCTGTAGAAAAAGTCTGAGCGAATTCTGAAGGTTTAAGATACTAGGTCACCTAAGTGAAATGGTCATTTTCCATCATGGTTACCTTTGTTTCAAAGGTGAATTAGCTATCCGTTTCTGCAGTCAAGACAAAGCACTACTTTTTCTTTGTCCATGCCGGAAATCCCGCTTCAAAAGACCTCCAAACTAATTTAGAAGTCAACCAAAATCTCGTTTTTCTCATTTTTCGCTTTTAATGGCTTGTTTTCACCGAATATTACTCAGAGCTAAGAAGACGAATCAGGCTCAAATCAATTCTATGGAATCTACGACATTTAAGCTATCGATTCATATAGAAACTGTTCCCTTAAAATGTTTTTTGATATAGTTAATGGGGTGTGGCGCGGAAAAACGTGCTTTTGGATGACCTCTAATTTCACAGTTTGGATGTCTTTTGAAGCGGAATTTCTGAGATGGACATAAAAGAGTACTGCTTTGGAATTAAAAATTGAAAAATATTTTAACCGTTTACAAAAATAAACAAGTCACTTGCACATTTCTGTAACCCATGTAAGTAACTTTCAAAAATTTCGCGACTCGTTCTCGGGGGAAGGAGGGCCCCCCCCCCCCCGCCCCTCCCCCCTCGGCACGCCACTGTTAGCCTAGTACTTTGAATCTTCAGAACTCGCTCAAACTTTGTCTACAGGGGTTAAATGACATGCTCGCGATGGATATGTTGCCCATTATGTTTGACAGGGCCTTCAGGTAATGCTATCTTAGGTACATAATTCAGGATGGTGGGGGTCTTATTGAGACAGCAACCAGGGGGGGGGGGGGGGAGTCGTAACCAGCGATCGTGCGCCACACCCCTTGCTTGACCCTGTTCGGGACTCATGGTTCAAAATCTTACCGAAATTTGGAAGTTTGTTCCTGCGCGCTGCACTACTCTGTGGTGCCTAGGGGTGTTGATGTACACAACTAATTTAATATACGTTGCGCATTCACTTTTTCGCTCTAATAAACACGTCCAAAATAGCTCCGCAGGTGAAGGATACCCGTCGACTGCCCCGATTCGTGCAATTTTATCAACGTAGGCGTGCCTTTTTGAAACCTTTTCAGCTTGCCAGTACGCTGCAGCACGCGGGGACTTAGTAGTTCGCAGATCCCTGTCCTTTAACCTCTTTTGTTGATTCAAGCATTACACATCGTTTTTTCTTCTTATCTTTCATTTTAAATAATCACTCCTTCTAATCTCTATGTGAAACCATCGCCGCGAGCAAGGTTAGAAAAAAAAGAATGAACATTCTTTGTAATTGCAGTGGTGGATATTATGGCTATGATTAGGATTGCATGTTGTCTTAATGGTTCATTATGATTTAACATGTATCTTGCGACAGACCACTGAAGTGACTACTTCAGCACTCCTACATCAGAGACACTAGGTAGGAGTGCTGAAATAAACACTAGAGTGGTCTCATCTAAGGAAAATCCATAATAGCCACCACTGTTTTTGAACAAAGCACGTCCTTTCACCAAATTTTGTCCAAGGCGATGGTTTACGATCTTCAAAAAAATGTTTGGTAGGTAAAAAGGGAGAAGAATTCTAAAGTGCGCCCAAACAAATTTTTTTCTTACCTTTCAGTATTCCATCAAAGTGGAACGTAGAGTATTTGAACATTGAAAGAACCTAAGAAAAAGGGAAAACGAATGACTGACTTCAATACAAAGCTAAGAAGAAAAAACGATGTGAAATTAACGCGTTGATAACGACCTTTCTTTTCAAGTCTGTCCCTGTATAAAGATGTTTCCGTGCACTTCTAGCCCGGCTGTTTGTATAAATGCACGCATCTATGCGTAAAATACCAATTTACAAGTGGGCGGGGCAGCTCCGCCCCCTTCGCGGAAAGCTCCTCGAAAATGCTGGAAGTTGCATGAAGACTATGCATTTGTCCAAATCCCGATGTTTTGAAAGTGGGCGGAGCTTTAATGACGGGGCGGGGTCTGAATCGAAGCTGCTTGAGGCACCAAGAGTCATTTGCGACCTCCTTTGCGTTTTGTGCATAAAAATCTCTTGCGAAAAGCAAATGGAATGGGCGGAGTTTGTTAAAAGAGGAGCGGGGCAAGGTCCGGCACAGATCGTACGGATACAAGCTGGACTTCGTTTTTGGAGCGAAAATGCAAAGGGGGATATCGTTTTTGTGGCCGAAAAGACGCAAAAAATTGCGAGGTTCTTTTAGTCGACGTTACGTGTTTAAAATTTCTTTACAGATATAATTTGGGGTCAAAGGGGACTTTGTAAATTTTGGCGATCAAGGAAAAGCCTAGAAACGGACTCAGGCCGGGCCTTAGAGGGGGGAGAACATGAAAAACTTCCGAGCCTAATTTGATTATGTGAATACAAATTGGAACCATTGTGCACATTAGAACTGTTATTTGAGGTCTCTCACACCATTGCGTCGTCGATGAATATCCTTTATGGAAGGTAGATTTGGAGTCATCATTTCATGCTTTCCAAAAAGCATACACTTCATCTCAAAGGCGTCAGCCATCTCAAAGGCGTCAGCTAATCATCCTCATCTTGGATGTGGAAGAGGTGAGAACTGTTATGCGCAAGTGAAATGTGGAACCGACAAAATCTTCATAAATTCAAAGTGCACGCAGTTTTGCTTTGGCTCTATACGACATGCACATTCGCTCATCATGACATCTAACAGAAGGATTTACGATTTTGTAGCATTGGTGTGCAATTTTTCCCGACTCACAGCATTGTCACCCGTCCGTCATCGCTGGAATCCTGACGTTCTGACATAGAGAAAATGCAGCTGTATTTCGGTTAAGTTTTTATTTTGATATGACAATCAATTTCAAGCCTTACATATTTATTCTCAAATATCTTTGGTGACACCGGTGTATGAAAAGGCACAACATCATGGAATTTTAAATCATGGCTCCACTGCTGTTTTGCACTACAACAGCTGTTGCTCCACGGAACAACATTATTACCCAATTCGATCCATACGGACAGGCAAAAATATAATTCATGGGTGTCTATATCACATCTATGGACGAAGCAAAGCATGCAGATGGTTTAAGGCAAACATGTACAGATTGAGTTCGAGCAATTCTCAATAGGATAAGCGAATGTTGCTATGATTCGGCTGAAATCGTAAAGAAATGTTTAGTTCTGCAATTTTTTCTTCACCTGAGATAAAAAATAAGACTTATGTACAAGAAGTGCGATGACAACGAAGACTAAGGCTCTAGCACCGAATATAATGTTGCAACTACATAGGTTGTCAGGATGGCATAGCATGAAGGAGAGACGAAGTTTTCACCTATGAGGACTCATAATCTAACTATAAAAGTGAGAAAAACACATATGTGGCAATATTCGTAAAGGGTTACCGGATTTGAATTGAGCTTCTAATTAGGGCAATAACTAACAATTTGAGCGATAAAGAGAGTAGATCAAGAGTTTGGTAGCTTCGCAAGTTCTACGAAAACCTATCAAAACTTCCGAAACCCTTCGTTGCATCTGTCATAACTTAACAAATTTGTAACACATGATAGACTGAACGTATGCAAAAAGTGGAACGTTGAAGTTCACTACATTTGCAAACTAATAAATACGATTATATTAGTGATGACTTTAAAGGAAGAATGGCTTAGTAATCGTCGACGACCATTGTGGCCTCTTCGGCCGTGGATCGAAGATGGGACGATTTCATGAAACATACCAATGAGGACAACAAGCAGAAGCAAGCTGAAAATTATATATTCAGTGAGTTTCAAGAGTATATCGGTGTTTTATATCGATGTTGGCCGTGATTTTTTTTGGAACGAGGCTAGCTTTCTAAAAAATTTTCTTATTCTGTCATTTAAATAATGAGAAAATTTCAAGGCTTTTGATTATTTCAGTTAGTTGCGCAATATCATAAATGTCTGCTGCATTCAAGTATTTTGCAACCCATTCTTGACAGATTAAGCTGCGCAACCTCATCTTGGGTTGCTAACAATCAAAAAATGAAAAGTTTCTCAGTGAAGTGAGGTAAACAATCCTGCAGATGCCTCGTTACTTGTCTATTCTGGGACCCGCTATTGCAATTTTGCGATGTTGATATTTACTTAAGGGCCGAGCATACTTCACGCAATTTCAGTAGCGACGCGATTTGGCAATATTCCAACTGTGCACAACTCACTTTAATCATATTCCAAATGTACAGAAGATAGGGCATTTTATCGATGTAAGCTATACACAGATGCAGTTTGCTAGTGTTGTATCTGAAGACTTCTGGCAAAATGCCAAATCGCGTCGCAAATGAAATCGCGTTAAGTATGCCCAGCCCTTTACGACTATAACCTTCACAAATCTTTCATAAAGAATAACTCCTCCCCTACCGGAAAAGAGTTCGTGCTATATGAAAATGATCTACATGCATTACAAGATCATATAATAGTGTTTCAATTTGTAAATGTTCAAAATGTCGTTAACATTGCACATATACTGAAATAGCCTCTTACAAATTTTTCCTTTTATAGTTCAGAAAATTGTATTATGTCCTAATGGAGGATTGTTTAGATCGCATTCATGTGGAACTTCTGCCTCCTACCCCAACGAGATTTCCTACGACAGCCGCTGCCCTTTCCTTTTACAGTCAACATTACGAGTTTGCAAAGAACAACGGGGTTCTTCTTATCTCGGAGATACATTTCACAATGAACTAACCAACAACAACGATGTATGTCCTTTGTGGTGTTAGGACAACGGAGAACGCGGCCAGTACACCACTCATTACTAGTAACGTCGCTGCTAATGCCAGAAATTGATAGGATAGCCTTCGATTCTGCAAAATACCGTATTTTATGGTGCAGATAAAAGAGTTTCAAAAATTACTTACATAGCGCCCCACTGACACTTTATTATAGCAGAACGGACATACAACAGCACCTCGTAACCGATGGAACTGTAAATGACGTCATTTTAATTTTTTTCAAAATCTAACCCTTCTGTGCCCACTTACAGCGAATTGCTCATTACAGTGGGGGCACATATATCGTGGTGAACATACGTCTCGTGGATATCGGACCTTGGAAAGATTGGGCCCTATAAAACATCACATAAACATCGAGAACCGGTGCATTTGCACCATAAGTCTTGGAAATTACCCGCAGGATATGGCGGTAACGTCTCGAATGGGAATGCTTGTCCGGGTGGCCATGAGAAGTGATGGACTTTTGATGGTAATTGTTGCGTGGATTCTTGCACCTTTTCCTTCATTCTGAGTACTGAAATTGTTACAGTAATATTACAGTAATACCGCGTGCAACTTATACAGAAAAGGAAGGTATTGCTACACTCGAGAACAGGTTGAGACATAAAAGTAGAATAAGTTTAAAAAAAATAGCCGAAGTAGGGCTATGAAATTTTACGACCGTGAAACCATAATTGTAAGTTTACTGAAAAAAATTTGCAGACGATAAATGAGCAAATGAGGCTGGTGAAATTACGCAATTAATCAAAAGGAGAAATTGGTTCTCTATTTACTTGTCCTCCTCAGAGTGCTTCTGTTCTGTTACTTGCAAAGCATAATGCTTTGATGAATTTTTGGGATGGGACCCCGAGACAGTGGGTAAAGTAGAGTAGTATATTATTACAATGATTTCCTATGCAATTTTTTTGGAACAAAATCATGAGAAACGGAACCTGCGTAAAGCGCTTCTTTTTTGAAGAAATTTTTCCTCAGATATTTGAAAAAAGTTGGTGCCATTGTCCTTTGGGAATGTCTGGACCCTTGAGGTCATATAGGACTTCCAAATTTGAGAAAAGCATTTTATTCATTTTTCATAAAGATTGAGCAGGAGAGATGAAACCTTACGATTCCTTCAATATTAGTAAAAATCTCCAAAAATACGAAAAAAGACCTCAAAACTTTTCATAATATGATTTGAAATTTGCCGCTGATCTTTCTGAGAGATGTGAACTTTCAGAATAATATTGAGCTCGCAAGATTTGGGACACAAATTTTGAAGAGATTGAAGAGGAAAGACGGACAAAACTAGTCACAGGCTAGCTTCATAATTTGTAAAACATACCCAAGAATCAAAAAAAAAAGAATTGAAATTCTGTGTAATAAGAATTGAAATTTTTGGAAAGGACCAAAAATTCTTTCAGGGATGAGAACAAAGTTATAATTTGATAAGATTGAAATGACATATTCAGAGCAGTAAAAGGTTTAAATGACAAATTTCCGATTGGGTTAAAAATGGTTCAGTCTGGAAATATTCCCATGCTAAAGATGCTATGCAATTTGCAAATGTGCTAGGAATGCGCCAACACAAAATGTCAAGATGGAGAGCATCATTAATAGGGCCTAGAATTGCCAAAATAGCAAGTTTTGCTGGCGTCTTTATGTAGAAACTGTGAGAGCAAAGCTATATGGGAGACTGCAAAAATCTTGGGTCATAAAATTTCAAGCTAAGCGCTGGAATGGCCCGAAGAAAACTTATTGCTGTCTGTCCCAAATCACATCATGTACGTTGGTTTGAGCAAAGATGAGAAATGACACAAAACCTAGCGAGACTCATGAAATTTTTAGATTGAAATTTCATTTGAAAATTGTGGAAGATAGCTTAAAAGCTTTCTAGTTGTCACGAATCTTTGTAAAAGAATATAGAGTAGAAGAAAAGCTCATTGTGTGCGATATAACGCCTTATTTATGTTGCATATGAGCAGTAAAATAGAAACTTGATCAAATACATAAAAATTAGAAAGCAAGCAGTCGTTACTACTAATCAACACTTTCAACAGCGCAGTTCCCCTCAAAGAAGTTCGGAGACAGTCTTGTGACTCTCTAATCCGGTAGATACTCTGTGGCATTTAGATAATGAAAGCACTTGATCTGGTAGCAAACACTCATGTGATATAAATGAGATTAACTTCCTCAAAGAGAACGTCCACAATAATTTAGATGGATAACTAACTTTTCTCAAGGGAAATTTGAGGAATTGATTGCAAAGAAGAAACATCCAAAAAAAGAAATTACTCTAATAATAAGCTTTGTCGATCATGTAAACAGAACAGAGTCGAAGTTCTCAACCAGGTATATTTTTGCGTCAATTTTTCAGATTGGTTCTCTAATTGACAAAATCACCACTCCCGTCAAGGACTCTACACGCGAAAGCCTATTCGAATATATTGAAAAATTCTAAGATTTCCTGATTAGCGGTTATCACAAGTCAAAAAATCCAAGGTAAATATTCACAAAAATCATTCCTTTGCATGGAAAGTTTTTTGATTTTCTAAATAATTTTTTGTTCGTACGGCTGTATCTTCGATCCAAGAACTCTTAGCAGACAGGTTTTAAGTTCTTTCAACAATTTCTCACTGTCACCAAAAATTTGATTCAAGGATAAATTTTGGCATTCAATACGGCAAAAATCTCAAAATGCCTACAAGCAGGAGAATCAAAATGAATGTTACATGCGCAAGAAGCAAGTTGGATTGTATTTGGAGGCCCTTGAATAGCCAGATAGATATAACAAATAAGAACAAGACGTTGCTGTAAAAAATCTAGTTACCGAATTCAAGCAATGAAAAAATGAAAATACTCGTTTCTCCAAGAAAATCGAGCACTGGAAGCATTTATACAAAGGCATCCCAAAGGAACCCGCAGAGTTGTAAAACTCGATGAAAGAATGGCAAATATTACAGTGAGCAGTCAAAGGGATACATTTCGGTAGAGTTAATCGCAGAGTAAAGATTGAGACGAGTGAACAGAAAGGCAAACATAATCAGAGTACAGTATTCGCGGGCAGATTTGAGTTAAAAATAGGGCAAAGAACTGTCTGCATGGTATTTTTTGTGTCATTTTAGCTGGGAGAGAGGGGGGGGGGAGCGCATTTTGGCTTCTCAAACATTCCCATACATAGTCTCAGGATCGTTCTTTAGAGAAAAATGAGGTTAACATGGCGAAATGCCAATAAAACGTCGGTGATGGGTGTCGGTCTCTGCGGTGCGACCGTGTGAGAGCAAAATCGCGGTCAGCCGCGAGATCGCACTGCGATGCGATAGCATCAACAAAACGGCAGATCGTGCATGAGAATGTCTTCCGCGAAAGGCGGAAACAAATCCACACCGAACAGGAAATTCGTACAAGAAACATGCATGTTTGAAGAAAACAACATGTTCAAGGGAATCAAGATCGAAATCGGGATCTCTGAATAGAAAGCGATATTTGGTTTTCCTTCATAAGAAAAGCGAAATTGAGGGTAGGTCAAATTTTGGACATGATGAACGATGGGTTAAGCCTTAAAACTCATAGTTATTAGGAATGAACACGGGTATCAAAAATATTCCTGACGGTTCTCTACTTTTGCAGTATCAAATGAAGCTTCCGATTGCTCCTCATCAATGCATGTTATGGTATAATACAAACCCTGCTTGGTAAGAAAATTCAGAAGAAAAGCTCTCCATAAAAATATATAGAAACTTTGATTTCATTCCTATGCATCCCACCGTGACTTTCCTTCAACAATTGTCAAAAAAAAGTTGTCATGGGGGCTGTTTCTGTCAGACATTTTAGCAAACGAATGGCGGAAGTACTTGGTCGTAACACAAGTCTCGTAACCCTTTTTCTACTTTCCTCTAAAAAAACTGTAAAAACTCAAGCAAAGTCTAAAATGCGGCACATATAAGCAAAGGATTGACTATTGGCATCATTTACACCTTTACAATGGACTGCAGTGAATATAAAAGCAATTTTGTAACGGGCCTAATTTCCATTTTTCTTTTTTCTTCAAGAACTATATCCCATTCTTACTTTTGTTACTCTCAGGTGTTTCATGGATTTCTGGGGACGACATTAATACTAATATGGAGGCATTTGGTAGTCTAGGCTCTTCAATAATGCAAGTTGGAAGTCTCCGAAATTAGAAAAATTTTGAAAATTCCAAAAAGTGGATCTTACGTCTGGCATGGATATACTGAAAAGTAACCCTTCCATTCAGTTTAGAAATAGGAAAATTTTTTTTGTGAAGGTTTTTTCCTTCGAGTGTAAAAAATCTTATGTTACGGCCTAATAACATTTGTAAGGTAAATTTGAGGGGAGAAGGGGACGGGCAACAGTTAGTACATGCATTTTTTTACATTCCAAAATTCCGACTGTTTTCTTTAGAAGAAATCTTCAGGTGTCTCTGAAAATTCTTTGATTGAAAGCTGGTTAATTAAGGGAAAAATCTGCAGGAAATTGACGATTGAGACTAATTCTCATATTTTTAACTATTATAAATGATCAAAGTAGTAGCATGAAAGTAAAAAATAACAAGCCTATACGATTATTTTATAGCAAGCGGTCCAAAAAAATTCAGGCTCAAAACGTAATATCAATATTTCCCTTTGTTCCTCGATGTATGTTCTTTGCAGCGATTTTTGAAAGTCCGGAATTTCGACAGTGTAGAGCTGTGGCAAGGTCAATTTGTATAGACAAATTTTGTGTACTCAGCTTCTGTCCAAAATCATTACAGCCACACAAATAAAAACACCTAGAATGAATTTTGTAAACCCTTCAACTTACCACTTTCCGTCGAGTAGGCGCAAAATCTGGATATGATTTTTTTTTTTCGAAAAAGATCAGCATTTTTGGATCAAAAGTCAGGTACATTTTTTTCCACTACTAAAGAGCAAAGCACGAAGAGTGTTTTATAATACTCAACGCACGCAAATACCGAAAATGGTCTCACTAAACCTGATTACGTATGCGCGAAGTCCGTAGCAGGATGAGCAGAAGGTGTGATCAGACTCGTAAATAATCCCCGTATAATAGGTGATAAACGAAAACGAAAGTCATGAATGAACGAGGTGATGGGAGCAATTTGTCAGGGACGACTTACAAAAAAACAAATTATTTTGGTCCTTAAAACTCAAATTCATTTTTAAAGGCTTGCACTTCCTCTCCAGCCTCGATATTCTGTTTATAGCATACGTAACAAATGAGTGGACAAAATTGTAATGTAAAGAAATGAAAATAAGACTGGGATTTCTTGCGAATCCTGAAAAATCACATTTTCTACAGCAATAGCTTATTGTCGTTTTTTGACAAGTAGTAATTTTGAGCTCAAAAAAAGTGATAAAAATTAGATTTTCTACATTTATTCTGTTTTGATTGTCAAGAAATATTTTGAAGACGATGGGAAATTTTACTGCACCTTTAAATATTTTCTACAATTCAAACTTCTTGTAAGATATTCTCATTAGCTTAGATCTAGTGATAAAATAGCTTTGGTAAAAT